CTCCGACACACAAGGAATAGTTCTCACCGAGGAATAGTTTCTAGACATAGGGAGTTCTAAGGAATAGGTTTTTTTATTTTGGCCTAGAATTGACTCGCCATTCCACATACTAATGCGGAGATCTTTTCCTTATATCTATACTTGCCTCCTAATTTTCATATTCCTTTGGATGTAGCTTATTGAGCTTTTCAGACTTCATTAGTCTCGAAGTTATTTGGACTCGATACAATCAATTTCTACAAAAATATGAAGATCGATATAAATATTAGCGAGTCAAAGGTTTATTATACTTATAGTTTCTTATTATAACACTTATGGTCACTCTCTATATTAAGATCTTCCATTTACATAGGCTAGCTTTAGGATTTTGTAATGTATTCTCAGAGTGACTCATCTTCTATCCTCTTCAAGTCTATCAGAATTAGATTGATATTCTCTTGCTGTTGGCTATATATGTAACTAAACGAGGCCTAGAAGAAGTATAGTTATTGCTAAACGATTGATAGATATCGGTCTTTAGGGCATCTAGAACAATTTTTGATATGGGATCTTTTAGGTTATATGCGGGAACGCTAGGCACAATAGTGCGTCCACTATAGTTTGAAATAGCATACCATTCCAAAAAATTGGAGAATGTACTCCGAGGACTCAATTGTTCTGTCATGCCTTCGACTCACCGACTTTTGATTTATGAGGGAAGTTTTAACACGATTTTCAAGGCATAGAGGGGAAGCATTCCTCAATCCAAAATCGATGTTATTCCTACTTCTCAGACTCTTTACAGTACTTGAAGGGACTTTGTTTGGGAATCTCCTCAGCATTTGTTGCAGAATCCCCAAAAGAGGGTGGAATGGCATGAGTGTTATTTGGTTTTGGGTGTTCTATGCGCCAAGAATTTCAGTTATGATAAAAGAAAAAAGGTTTTTCTTCAAACAACCTAAAAATAACATATTCAAACTACGGCCATATACCAATTGGAATGTTGAAGTACAATTACGATGTCTAATAAAAAAAAAAAAAAAAAGTTCATTCAAAATTATTATAATCCAGTTTCGTAATGTTATTTTATTCTATCTACATGTCGATTACATCATTCTCTAAGTAATAGATTAAAACATAAGGAAAATTATCTATTTGATCAGCCGGTAATAACAAAAGCAAGAGTGAGTTAATTTCCTTATATAATGACATATATTAATTATTCAAATTACATTTTTTATATCATGATATTTTTGTAACTTTCTTGCTAATTTTTGACTGCTTCCCTGTCCTTTCCTCTACGTTTGGACAGAATGGTGGTCATGTTATTTGTATAGGAAATTTGGCAAAATTCTTATTATTGTTAAAATACTAGGATCAGATTGTATATGTTCATTAGCAAATTATTCTTTAATGACATTTTGAGTCAAAACACCTATGGATATAGAACTTGGACAAACTTATATGGAGGTGTCTGAATTGGTTAGTCAAGCTCCACTAGTCATTTTTTTTGTCCAGTCTATATCCATGTCCTCGCTTCTTTGTTTAATTGCCTTTTCTAGTTAAAGTAATAATGTTTACCTTTAGATCTCTCAATATTAAAAAAAAAAAAAAAAAAAAAAAAAAAAAAAAAAACATTTTTTTTTTTTTTTTTTTATAAAACTGAGTGAAGGTTGGTTAATCCACTATAGGTGTAGTTATTTCTAATAATCATTTGGGCTTTATGGAATATAAAATCCATGGACTGTGAAATTCATAAATCTACATTCCGGAAAATAAAATCTTATACATTTTTTAAATGAAATTAAATAAATAAAACTGATGATTGGAAATTCTCACTTTTGATAGTGAGATTTCTCTTTTTAAATTATGGGAAATTGGATATATGATAAAGTTAATTACTTTTTACGTTTGATTGTTTACCTATTTTTTCAACCACATAAAAGAAATTTTGACCCCAAATTCATAAATATTTAAATCCATTCAAAGCAGTAATGACTGTTGGGTATATTTATTATTTTGAAATTCTTGCATTTGAAACTTTGAATCATTTTGAGGAGGAGGGGGTTCTGAATATATTAAGGCTTAACAATATATATAGGAAAAATTGATAATTTTGGTGTCTCAATTTTATGATTTTTTTTTTTTTTTTTTTTTTTTTTTTTTAGTTGGTGGAAAAACATTTGGAATTGGATGTATTTATTTTTGAAAATGATTCAATTAAATGGTTGTTGCGTCAAGTTTTAAACACCGCGAAAGACTGATTTAGCAATAGCCGGGCACTTATTAATAGGTGGCAAGCCATTGTGAAATGAAGTTAGCATAGCATATGCAAGGCATGTGATGAAATGATAAATCCTCTCCATTTTTTGCCGGTTCCGTTTATTAGATCGGGAAGCAATTCCCTATAGTTTCCTTCAATTTATAGTTGAAGCATATTTTTAAAATTAAGCTATATTTATTTTTTTGTTAAATAGACATATCCAATGATTACATTTTATATAACTTGCGCCTATTTACAATATATATATAAATATATATTATATATAAACTTTGGTCCTTTTATACTGTACCATAATATTATTAGGTTCTTCAAACAAATAACAATATATATATATATATATATATAAAACTTGGTCCTTTTATATGTACATAATATATATTAGGTTCTTCAAACAAATAACACATATCCAATGTAGATCAAAATAGTAAATACTCCCTCTGTAATATAAGTCGTTTAAGATTTTTACACAAGGATTAAGGAAGCAAATAACTCTCCTAAATTATAACAAAATCAAGGGTACTTTAATATAATTATCTTTTATCTCAAAATCAATAGTTATTTGTGAAAGTTTTTATTGTATCTAATGTAAATAACGGTAATATTGAAAAGATATCCTTTATTATTCTTTAAAATATTCAAAAAACGATTTATATTTTGAGACAAAATAATCACCCAAAAAAGATTTATATTTTGAGACAGAGAGAGTAATCAATTAAAAGCATTATGCTTGCTACTAATATAAAAATAAATAAATAAAGTTCAACCTTCTAAAAGTTTCCAAATTTTATAGAAGAAAAAAAAAAATTCAATTGAAAGCGTATGACATTTTAAACTAATATTGTAAAATAATTTAAAATAAAGTGAGAATCTACTTTTTAATTGAAAAATTGAATTATATTTCTTCTCTACTTTTTAATTGAACATTTTCAAAAATAAATACATCCAATTTCAAATGTTTCTCAGCGAAACACAAATAAAATAAAAAAAAATTGTAAAAGTTGAGACACCAAATATAGTACTGTTTATATATTACTAAGGACAAATTTATTATAACGAAGCTTATTACTTCATTCAGAATTTGTTTAACGTGTTTGGTTTGACCTCATCTTCGAAAAGCTAAAATTTTATGCAAAATTAAATTTAACAAAATGCTATTATGTCAAGACTCATGCAAATGACAATTTATAAATTATATCCTAATCTCCTAAGATTATAATATTTATCAATTGTTTTTAAATAAATAGAAATAATTAAATCCGTTATTAATTTATTCAATTCAATTCTTTTAATTGAACAGAATAAAATTGAACCCTCACCTGAATTTTTCCTAACAGAACCCAAGGGCATTCAGAAGAACCGCACCACAATTTCAAAACAGCCAAAAAGAATGATAATGGTTCTCATGAATATAAACTTTGGCTTTTACTCCAATGAAGACTTTCAAATATACAGGGACCCAATAAGGAAATTTTCTTATTCGTTCTATGGTTAACAACCAAATTTTGAAAGTCATAAATGTTGCAAAACCGCAACAGGTGAGAAACAACCATTTTGGTGCTGCTGTATGTTACTGTGAATCGTAAATCTAGAAACACTTGTAGACTATTTTTTCCATGCAAGATAAAGGCCTGAAATAATAGCCACACCAGCAACTGCAACACCAAGGGATGTAAGAACCTTGACAGCAGAAACCGCTGGTTTCTGCGAAGGCATTTCCATAAGTTCCTCCATCTGCGGTACAGGAAGAAAGCACTTGTGAAACAAAAATCGAGTTTGCCGGGCTTCCTTTTGAATGAAAGTTACAGCTTGAATTGAATTGTTCATCAATGGAATATAAAGTTTAAAATCGATTACTTAACAAAGAGAAACTATTCACCGACCTGAACCGGCTGCTTCCAATGCTTCTTAATTCCCTGCAAATGTCCCTTTCCAACAACTGCAACTACTGAAGTATGTTCACTAGCGACTCTCAGTAATTTGGAAGACATGTACCTACAAGTTCAATAAAGACACTGCAAATTGTCAACATCCTACAAGTATGATGAAGATAGAATATGAACAGAGTTCTCTTTGGAGTCCTTGGACTCCAAAACTATTACAATTTAGACAGAAAAATACCAAGATCAATCAACATTTGCTTGTAGGGGGGGTATAAGATGAGCACTTTCCTTTTGAGCAAATGTATAATTTCAAATATTAAACTCATGTGGAGGCTATCCAGATGTACTGGATTTATGAATCTCTAAGAAAGATCTCAAAAGTTTTAAAAATACAAAAAGAGCCAGTACAAATTATGATCCTACTACTGAAGAAGAGTTTGGGAGGGAGGAGTTGAACATGTCCCATCATAGAACATCATTGCATAAATTAGGCTTTTACAACTCAAGCCTACAAATCTTATATTATGGGTGGCCAAAAGTTTAATAATAGGGTATAGGGGACAATGGAATGGAACTACCCTCTTCTCTTGTTTGGCACTTTGGCTTCCCATTTTTTGGGAAGTATAAAAAACGTTAATCTCCCTCCTATAAGTTGAAATTCTAAAAATCTATGCTTCAATTTTGGGGTGTACAATTTCCGCCATACTGAGAATTAAAGGATCATTTTTCGGAACCTTTTTGTTTTGTTTTGCTTTTATTACCTTTATTTTTACTAGACAATCTAAAACTAAGTTAAAGAATAAGAATGTATCTGTTCTCTTTACAATTAAAATTCCACTCCCTTCCTATCCAAACAAAAAAGCGTCCCTTCTCTTCTCATTTTATTTTAATTTCCAAACAAAACAAGATAAAGATTTTCTCCTATCCAAATAGGCATGCATAGTGCTAGGCAGTACATCTAGGATGATGCAAACTTCTACCAAGTTCACAAAACATTGAAACAGAGGGAAAAAAAATACTTCAACATCTTTGCCAAAGGAATAGTTAATATTAAAAAGAATAAATAAATGAAATAAAATGCAAAAAAGAAAGAAAGGGTGGTCAGCAAAAAAATCATATGAAAGTGTGTCAAAAAATGTGGCAAAGACAACAAATACAGGACAGGCAAATTATGAGCATACTGTCACTGAAAATAATTTTATCCAGGCAGATCATAACATTACTGAATATGAATTCAAAACAATCATACAAATGAAAATAATGGATTAGTTAACCATTCAGCATTATTTTGGACATGAAGGAACCATTAAGCATCAAACTGAAGCATTTAACATATTTTTGCACTCAGTGATCCAAATGTTGTTTCCAAAGGGGTAAAAAGAATAGAAACACCAGGAAAAGGAAAAGTTCTAGAAGAAGCATAGAATTGCAAAAGAGGAAGGGGATAGTTAGAAAGAAAATTTTCAAACATATTTAGAGGGGTAGGCGCCTTCAACTCCTAGGCACCCAAGGCGTAGCAAGGCAAGACAAGGTTGGGCAAGCGCCTCAAAATCTTTTTGCTATTTCCCTATACAGATTTCTAGATATTAAGTTAACAATTAAAAGAAGTATACATATATGGGAAAAAAGAAAAGAAAGCAGCTGGAAAACAGAAAGTTTGATAGCTATTTAATAATTAGGTCATAATTTAACAAATAAATATGGAAAAAAAGTGGCTGGAAATTGGAAACTTTGACAGCCATTATATACTTAGATCAAAACCTAATCTTACCATTAAAAACAAGTAGGGATAATAATAAATTCAGTGTCTGAATTTTTTAAAATTTTCTATTTTAGTATCTAAATGGAAAACCTTATCAATTGAGTTTCTAAACTTTTTAAAAAAATCAATTAAGTGTCTAACGCCAATGTGTCTCTTTGGAATTATAATTATTACATATATGGGACTAGTTTACGCTGATGTAGTAGTCCATGGATTAAAATAGCTCCAGATCAGCTAGCCACATGTGGATGTAGCTGACATCCCATCTTGGAATCCACATGGCTACGCATACTTTCTTCACTGATTATCTCCAAATCTTGATCTTCTTTTCCCATGCCAAGATCAGTTTCACCTTTCTAGCCAAAACAACTCATTATCAACATTCATTAAATAAACATCTTCCCCTTTCATCAACATAACTACAACACCAAAACCCATTAGAGCCTATCAGTAATTTGAAAAAAGTCTCCTCTGTTTTTCTCAATGTTTGTAAAAGTGCTTTAATACATCAAACTGATTAACCGCATTAGAATTAGAGACACTCTTTCAATTTCCTATCAAGTTCCATTCTTTCTCTATCCCATTACCATCTCCATCTTCTATACCTTAAAGAATTTGTTCCTTGTTTTCTTTTCAAATCAGAATTTGAATTGCAATCAAATGAATTTGAACTTGAAGAATTCTCCTCTATTTCTTCTGTTTCCTCTATTTTTGAATTGGATTCAGATTTGTCATTCCATATAAGTCCTTTAAGCTCTTCATTAACATTATTGTAAAGATTAGAAAGCAAATAATCAGGAGCATCAGCTTTCCATTTTCCTCTTCATTCACATCCTTTCTCTAATCAGGAGCATTATCAATTCCAACAAATACCCATCCATTTTCCTCCAATTTTGACTTTCCAAAGAAAATAAACTATCTTCAACGACATCATTGCTTGTACTCGATTACGTAAATTAGCACTGCTGCCACTCACAACCTCACCATTTATAACTGAAATCAATTATTTAACACTTTTAATTGGTATCATTATCGTTTTTCCCCCAAAAGATAGTTTTAGATATTACTCCCATTAAATTCTTAACTAAACTTAGTTTCTTGACTTTACCTTCTTTAACTTTTTCAATCCCAAAGCCTTTATGAGAGAAACTTCTCTGCAACTTAATACTTTCCTTCTCTTTCTATTTCTCCACTAAACTGGAATATAACTCGTGCTTGATTGGTGCCAAAACAAAAGCACAACCTATGGGTCCCGAAAGAAATCTACACTGGATAGGACCTGATAAAAACCCACACTAAATCAAGCTAGAACCAGGTAAAGGCATACCAGAACCATGCCAGAGCTAGCTGACCATGAAAGAAACAGTTTCAAAAGTGGAGGAAACATCTAAACTAGAGTAGAGAAAAGCATTGGTTGGGATTTCAGCTACAAGTCCATAAGGGGTCCACGTGGCTAGCTGATGTGGAGCTGTTTTAATCCAAGTCGACTGCCACATCAGCATAAACGGGCCTCACATATGCTCAATCATTATTCTGGTGAGATATATCAGCATCGACCACTTATTTGATTTTTTTTTTTTTTAGTTTAGACACTCAATTGATAAGATTTTCTATTTAGGCACCAAAATAGAAATTTTTGAAAAGTCCAAGCACTAAATTTATCATTATCCCAAACAAGGACAACAAATGTGGGAAGAAAAGAATTAGGGTAGGGTAAATTAAATATAATAATTAAAAAGCAGTACGTATGTGAAAAGGCACAGCAGGTAACAACAAGCAATATCAAGCGCAAATACAAAAGCATTAAGGTCAAGACTATTAAAAAATATTGAAGAGACCGATTCAAAGAAAAATGAAGAGATTGAGTACTATAATAAATCTGATGAAGAGAAAGAAGCGATGATGATGATGATAATGATTTAATAGATGTGGAAGAAGACAACAACTGGAGATGAAAAACCTTAGAATCAAGATTTTTAAGTTTACATGACAGTTTGATTAGTTCATCTAGAATTCTAAATTATCTAATATGCTTTTTGGAGCTAACCTTTGGATGCATAATTATAAATGGATGACATAGTTTTGATTATATCTAGATTTCTAAATTATCTAATGCTTTTTGAAACCAATATAGAATTCTAAATTTGAGGTATCTAGAGTTCCTCAATCCTCACTTCACTCGGGCGAGCGAGGGCCTTGTTGCCTCAAGGCCACCCAGCGCTTTTGACAACACTGACAATGATTAATAATTAGTAATTGGGCTATCTAAAATATTGCTCAAAAAGCTACAGACAGCAAAAATCTAGCTCTTAAATTAGAGCCTGGATAGCCCTTCAGACTAATCATGAGATAAATCCCCAAGTTTCCTCTTCCATCAACGAGTGCCATGTATAAAGAAGCATCTAATCTCTTTTATATTTAATTCACACTGCATGTACATTCAAAATTAAAAAACCAATAAACGACAATCAAAACTTAAAAGTACTTCATAAGCATCCTGTAGAACATGTAAGCATAACAAATAAAATACCAAACATAAAGTACTGATCATGCAAGTCATCAGAGGTTTGCAAATAAAAATTCTGTGCACAAAAAAAAAAGGTTTGATATTTCTAGCGACTGTAGTTGATCAGGCTTCTATACAAGCAATGCAGTTAGAATAGAATGAAACAGAAAAAGCAAGCCCAGTACGAAAGTAAGTTTGCAAAAAATATAGTAAGGAATATATTTGAAACACTAAACAGAAATTGCAAAGGAGAGTGTTGGCAAAGGAATACTCACTGGTCTCTCTCATGCACAAGGGTTTCCATTAGAGTTGGGAACTCCTTACTCATCTCTTGGATCACAAGAGTCAGCATGTCCACATCATCCATTTCCTTCAGCTGAAAATTAGCAAAATGAAATTACTATCAACTAAAACTTAGCAACACAGAATTTCTACCTTACCATGAATTTCATGTCCACTCACTGCAAGCAAACATAAATGGAATTCTTAGCATTAATAAGAGAGAGCCTTACCATTTTGTTAAGGTCGTCTGGGCTTGGTAAAAAGAATGCTTGAAACAGTAGGGAATATAGTAGCTTTGTCTTATGCCAAAGAGGCATTTTTCCCCATGTCCTTCTTAATGTAATCTGTTTCATATAGTACCATCAAATCTGTAATTAACTTCATAACTGTGACAATAAGACTTAAATATGCAAAACACATTCAACCCACTAGAGTTTTTGTGATCCAAAAAGCTGGTGTAACAATGGATGGATGAGAAGAGTACATGCTTTGATACAGGATTGAGGGCCCTAGATTGTGACTGGGAAATGCTAAGCAAATTCAATAGGCAGCCAGTGCTAAGCAAAGGTACAGAATGGTATGCAATGATGCTTCCTATGGAATTAAATCTCACAATCAGCTATCATGGTAGTTTACCACTCAATTTCTTGCATACAAGGGAATTGAAAATGATTTCAATAAACCTCAAAATGCTTTTGAATCCATATGGGACTAGGAAATCCTAACCAAACATGAATAGCAACCAGTAAAAGCAACCATCCATCCACCATGTGTTCCACGGAATTAAATCTCATGATCAACATTCAAAGACAACATCATATACATAACCCCATTTCCTAATGCCATCTCATTATCACCATTCAAGAGGATTGCCACACTCAATTACTCTCTTACTGTGTAAATGAGACATGGGTGGCAATCTAATGGACATTTTGCTTAGGAGTGTAGCAAACCTAGTCCAAGTCAGATATTAAGATGTTTAGACTTGGTTTCCTTAGTTTTAAGCATATTCAAGCTTAAACACATCTCAAGGAGCTTAGAGTTATGTGGGCAAAAGTTACTCAGCTAGGAGCCAAGCTTGATACTCAAGTTGAGCCTCAACCTAAACAAATTTAATGCATTGATCCATGGGATTGCTAGTCTATCTGATGCATTGATCTAAAAAGAAGCAAAGCAGTTCTGGCAAAAAATCAGCAAAGGCTCTTACTTGTACAGGCCGATCACCAAGTATCACCTTGCCACCATATTTTCTGGCTTCTTCAAAAGCCACACGAAATTCAGAACCAGGAAAAACCTCTAGCTTATTGGCAACCTACAAAAATCAATTAATTGGTCTGATGCATCAAACTTTAAAATTATACCAAATGTATTATATTCTGATTTTGGTCAGAAGTATAAGCACTGAAGATAGAAAGAGAGAAAAAAAAAAAAAAAGAACAGAAACAACGATTGTCATACATGCCTTGGCAAGAAACCAGCTATAAAGTATCCCAAACAGATTATTGTTTTTCTTCCACATCTCTATCATTTCTCTCATGGTTGGTATCTGGTCAAAGAAAATTGAATAATTAGAAAATGGAAAACTGAAAGCGTAAAATGTTTAAAAAAAGGGGTTATTTTTTATTATTCAAGCAGACCTAACAGGCAAGTTGATGCAGATCCACTATCACCAACCACCTATGGAGCTCAAGGGAACAAGGAGAACAACATGAAATAAAATCAGTAAAATGTATTATTGGTGTTCTTGCTTCTTTAAGCTTTGGGTGCCATAGAGGGAAGTTTATTTAGATCTTTTATCTCTTCCAAAACTTGTCATAGAGTTCATGGAATAAATTTCCATAGGGTTCCGCGTCACAAGTCACTGGCACCGCCTAATGATTTAATCCATCCAAACTATTATGCCATCAAGGCAAGATAATCAAACATGAAGCCAGCATCACCTTCTAAGTATGACATAGCAGTACCTAAATTAACAGCTTTGAAGTCAACTAATTGCAGAGTGGAGTGAGGGCCCTAGTTTCAGAAAGAGATAGAGAGAGGGAAGGGCAAAGGTTCTTCGAAATCTATGCATATACAAAAGCAGGGGGAGAAAAAAGCAAGAAACATTTGGGACAAACCTTTAAATTCTGAGGGGTTAGCACGGCCACTCGACTAGCACACAACTCCAAAAAGACAACCTGCAGTCAAAAAACAGTAGCTTTATTGAAATCCATGAGATAAGAAAAGAAGCAAAACAACTAAGAAGCAGGCAGCTAACCTGCTGCTAAATGATCCATCCAGTAATCAAAATTAGTGATTTTCAAAAGGGAAAGAACCTGCGGTTTCAAGCAACTTATTACAGCTTGAACTTCTTTGCATGATTCCTGAAATACACAACAAAAATAAAAGCAAGTTTAGCATAGCAATTGAATATTATGAAAAGCATTCAAATCAAAATTCCGTAAGATTCATAATTTACATTCTTCAATTGATATCCAAATTCTATTCTCACTAATAAATTGATGTAGAAAAACAACAAGTTGCAGCAATCAATTATTTTACATAATAGTTGTCCCCACATTAAGGTAATGTTACATTTTGAAATCACCCTTGCACAGCCCTTCTCGGCTAGCCTAATGAGTTTGAAGCTCAACTCTAGGTAATTCCTTTTCACGACGGAACAATTGAAATCTCCAACAGAAAAGGACTAGAATTCAACTTCAAATGGTCCATTCATTTTCTGAATCCTTTGATTGAATGATTTGATTTTGCAAATATGAAAACAAAACACAAGATAATTAAAGATATTACTTTAATTGAAGCAAAGAATTTTCATTTCCTCCACTGTCGATAAACGTATGAAGCGTCAAATCTAATATATATCATCATCCCTCAGATATTCTCAACAACCAAACAGAAAATTAAACTAATATTTGATAAAAATAAATAAATTCACCTGCGAAACATGAGCCGTACCAACCAAGTATACATGGCACGACCCACCCTCAGCCGTCGACTCACAGGTAAGAACCACCACGTTTCTGGAAAGCTCCTCCGGAACCTCTCTCCTTTCCGGCTCATCACAACCAAACCCTGAATCGGCGCCAGTTTCTTCTCTCAACTCATCAGCAACATCAACAATGCTCTCGCTCAACGCCTCGATATTCGGATTAGGGTTTTCAATGTGAACAAAGTCCTCGGCTGCAGTAGGTGGGTCCAATGATTCCGGCGAGTAGGGGTCCATTACGGGAGTTTTGGGCTCGGGTATAAGCGGATTACCTGTTTTGGTTGCAAATGAAGTAATTTTTGGAAATTTTTGGGGTGAGAGGAAAATGCGAGGAGTAAATTTTACGTTGTTTTGAAGATTTAGGGGACGAAATCTGTAGGTGCCGGTGAAGAAGCGCTGTAACTCGGGCGAGTTCAGTCGAGTGATAAGGCGAGTCGAGCGATTCATAAATCGGGCATCACTTCAGGCTTGTACATGCAAACTGAATAAGAGGGAGCTGAGATTGAGAAACCCCTGTCTGTTTATTGTGAAATGACGTGGTATTATGTATTAAATACCCATTGCGTGGTTCCAGCGGGCCCTGTTGCCACGTGGCGTGCAGTGCTCGGATGCAGATTACAGCGAAAGCAAGCATGTGTACGTGGGAAAAAGAATGAATTCATCCCTAAGTTATGTTATACTCTAATTAACCATTGGATATATCAATTCACTCCGCAAGATTATTACTTTGAGTTTGTCGCGCCTTTAATTTTTATTTTTATCTATTAAACACTTTAATTTATAAAATTATATTTTTTAAATATTTTAATTTTTAAAATTATTTTATTAAATACTTTAATTTGTAAAATTTGATTAATTAAACACTTATGACATAATTGAAAAATATAAAAATTATTATTCAAAAAATTATGCCACTAACTACACATCAAATTAATATTTTACATTTAAAAGCTAAAAATTTTAAAAATTATTGTTAATGGTATAGGAATCTGTGCAACATTATTAAAATTTGTAAATTCAAGTATATGATAAATCATTCACAAAGTTCAGGATGTTACGATGTTAAAATTATAAAGTTGAGGAGTAAATTGTGTATTTGGTCTCTAATTAACATATGAGCATTCTTTTTTACTTTCATAAACTTAGTAATTCTTTTTTATTTTATAAACTTAGTCCCAACTTTTGATTCCATCAATAGTTTCTTTCTTCCGTCCGACAAAACATCGTACTATTGACAAACTCAAAAAATTTAGATCTTATTAATAGGTTTTGGAAATAGAGATTCTCGTGTACTAATTAGGATATAATTTGGGATAATATTATATTTAGTGTTTTAATTATTGATTTTTCTATTTTGGTATATAAATGAAAAATACTATCAATCAGGTGTTTTAAAGTTTTAAAGTTTGTAATCAAGTGTCTTTATCTAACCTAAATTGCCAAAATCACAACTAAGCATTTGTGAGTCCCATTTTTAATGAGTTGGCACTGACATGGTCTATTTTTTTCACATTATCAATACACATGGATTCCTGTGTACTCTCACGTGAGTTTTTCCTTCTAACACTTATTTAATACATTAAAAATTTCTCTCTTCACCTTTCCTTCTTTGGACTCTAAATCTTCTCTCTCGATTTAACTTTTTTTGTCCCTTTCTACGTTTCTCTCCAACACAAATTAATAATGAACTACACAGCCTTAGATCTGCTACTTATCATAATTAAGTGGACTACATACTTATTAACATAATCAATAATCTCATGTCCTTGTCCACCAAAATCTTCGCAGGCATAGTATATTATGTGCATGCAGAATTAAATTGATATTGGGCGACTTTGATAGAGCTAATGACGTAAGATTTTTGGCTAAGATGATGTAAAGGCCTAATTATTGCTAGAGTTAGAGAAACATTAAGTAACAGTGTGATTAGTTTACATGAGCACTAAAAAATCCTAAGAAAATTTTAGAACTATGAAAAATAGAGTTTAATTATATATCTGTGTGTGGATTCATTGTAAATAATGGAAAATATATTGTTTAGGGGCTAGTATGTGCATGTGCAAAATTAAATTAATATTGAGCGACGTCAATGGAGCGAGTTAATGGAAGATTTTTGGCTAAATGATGTAAAAGCTTAATTATTACTAAAGTTAGAGAAACATTAAGTAATAATGATTTAAGCAACGAATGTGAAATTGAAGCTAAATAAAGGTTTTTGGTGCAATGTAATTGGGGGTTTGTATATTAAAGTGAGAACAACTAATTTATGCTTTAAGTATTTGATCATGTTGTTACATTAATGATAAATAGTTGAAAGGCTCTACCTTATATGATTAAGTTGATCGATAAACGAAATTATAATAATCGATTAAGGATACGCGAGGTTATAAATTTCATATCTAAATATATGAAGGTACTTATGGCTGATTTTTGAATATGATACACTCTAGAATGTCTAGTTTATAATAAAAATTATCGAAGGCCTTAACGTACATGAATTATTGGACACATATGGTGGTTTTGCAAAATATCCTGCTATAGGACCTATGCAGGCATAACAACATTGTGTAAGCGATTTTGGGGACCAAATGAATTTACTTGGACTTTACCTTTAATTAACATTTAATGATATATGTTATATATCATATAGAATTTTAGTAATTAATTTATTCTACATTATGGAGAATTTTCGTTAATAGGAGTTTTTCCTAGGTTGTTAATGTTCGAGCACTGTTAGGACAACTCTGTTGTGAATTATATTTTGGATAGACAAAAGGTAATGAAATTTAGTGATCCATGATATGTTAAAATCGTGGAGAAATCTAGTTTGTTATGGTAAATTATGAGAAAGATGTATTATATGGATTAATCAAGAGATTAAAAATGGTAAGGGCTATCAGTTTTAATTAAGTAAAGGAGAGAGAAGAGTTAAATTTTAAGTCAAGAATTATTTTGTCTTTGCATAATCCACATTTATAATTAATGTTATTAGAAGTAAAAACTTATAATTGATTGAGATTATACATGTTAAAGTGTGTGAGGTCCCGACTCGAGCGCCTTATCCAATCCACTAAAAATAGAATCGAAACACTCATTTTGAGTTGGGTTCATGATGTGAAAGCCTATTTAATCTAATTTCTTTCTTTGAAAAGGAGTTTGATGATAAAGAAAAAGAAAGTTAATCTATGAAAGTTAGGACAGAATCAAAAGAAAGGCTGACTAAAAGAAGTTGGAATAAGAGTACGGGATGGTAGATAAAAAGGAATTTAGCCCAGGACTTGCAAGTTATATTTTCTATTTTGAGAGAAAAATCTAAGAAAAATCCTAATTTGACTTCGAACATTACTCCAAATTCATTAACATGCACTAATCATCAAAACCGAGAAGGTTAATGATAGAACCGAAGTTATCACTTATCAAAAGTTAATCAAGATTAAAATGAATAAAAATATCATTATTATTTCAGTTGTTCTTCAACTACAAAGAGAAAATAGAAGATTATTTTCTAACTGATAAAAATTGGCCTTAAACTAATTACAAAGTAATCGCCCTTATTATGCCAATGGGCTGCCAACTGGGCTAATAACTAGGACCACCAAAAAACTAAAACAATAATATAAAATAATGTGACTTCACACCCCCTAAGATGGAGTTGGTGAGAAATCAACCAAACCCAACTTGGATAGTAAGTGTTGAAATTGAGGATACTTAAATTCTTGGTGAAAATATCTGCAAGCTGCTGTTTTGATTATAGATGATTAATAGAGAGAAAATCTTATTGGAGGAGATTTCAGACAACATGACAATCAATATCTATGTGTTTAGTACGTTCATGAAAGATCGGATTAGCAGCAATGTGTAAAGCTGCCTGATTATCACAAAACAAATGAATAAGTAGCAGTAAAGGCAATTGTAAATCTCTTAAAATGTAAGAAAGCCATTTTAATTCACAAATAGTGACTGCCATGGCCCTATATTCAGCTTCAGTAGTGCTTCTGCTCACAATATTCTGCTTTTTAGATTTCTATGATATAAGGGACTGCCCAAGAAAAATGCAATAAACTGTGAGAGATTTTCTTGTGGTAGAACAAGAAGCCCAATCAGCATCACAAAAAGCCTTTAATTGAAAGGTGTTGGTAGCAAGAAAGAAAAGACTAGTTGAAGGATAAGTCTTGAGATGGGTGAGAACATGTATGGCAGCCTTAAGATGCAAAGTAGTTGGAGACTGTATAAATTGACGTAATTATTGACAGAAGATGTTACATCCGGTCTAGTAAGACTAAGATACAACAATCTGCGTACCAAACTTATGTACTATTCTAGTTCTGAAAGAAGAGAACCTGTTTCAGATGTGAGCTTGAGACCTTGAATCATAGGAGTATGAGCAGATTTAGCATTTGAAATGTCAACTTCTTGTACTAAATTAAGAATATATTTCTTCTGTGTAAGACACATACCAAAATCTGACCTCGCATTTTTTCAGCCTAGGAAATATTTAGTATATCCTAGATCTTTAATGGTGAAAGCAAAATCAAGGTAAGATTTGACATCAAGTATCAATTGCTCATCAGAACCAGTAAGTAAAATGTCATCCACATAAACTAATAAGGCTAGAAACTGAGAACCTGAACCTTTTGTGAACATGCAATGATCATGAGATGATTGAAGAAAATCATAAGCCTCCAAATATTTTGTGAATTTCCTATTCCACTGTCTACCAACCTGTTTTAAAGCATAGGGGGATTTGATCAAATTACAAACTTGTCCAGGTTAACTTTTTTAATACCCTTGTGGAGGTAACATGTTAATGTCCTCATCAAGATTTCCATGCAAGTAGGCATTGTTGATATCAAGCTGATGCAAAGCCATTGTTTGGTTACTGTTGTTGCTAATAAAAGTCTAACAGTAACAAGTTTGGCAATAGGAGAAATTATTTAAGTATAGTCTAAGCCCCATAACTATGTATAGCCTTTTACAACCAACCTAGCTTTATATCTATCAACACTACCGTCTTTGTTGTCTTTCACTCTATAAATCCATTTTGAATAAATGGGTTTCTTATCAGGAGGCAAATCTGTGATGGCCCAAGTTTTGTTAAGTTCAAGTGCTTCTAGTTCCTTTTCCATTGCTTTTACCCAATGCAAATCATATTTAGCATGATGATAAGACATTGGTTCAGGAATTTTAGATACATTGGAAATGAAATTGACATATGCAGAGTGGAAGGTTAAAGATGTAGTGTTAGTGAGAGAAGAAAGAGAAATACTTGTTTCTATTTGTAAAGCATCCTCAGATATACCATTGGTTTGTACCGAACATACAAAATCATCAAACCACAAAGGTTTCTATTTAACTCTAGTGCTTTTGCTAATGGGTGGATTAACAGGGAGAGGAACATGTGGAGGTACGGGTATAAATATATTTGGTACATTAGGCACAAAACCTAGTGTCTCTCTAGAAGAAGAAGAAGAAGAAGAAGAAGATGAATGTAGGGTGGAGGAGGGAATGTGTGATGGGAATGTG